AGCGCAGGCAGCAGCAGGAAGAAGCACAGGTCAGTAGGGGCAGGGGACTGGGGTGGTGATGATGATGTGTGAGTGATGGTGTTGTGATGGAGGAAGGCGAGGAAGAACAGAGAGAAGAAGTGAGAGATGATACCTTCACGCGCGCACCCCCTCACGCACGTGCATCTTTCCTCCCCCCTCCTCCGCCTCACCTCCAATTGCCGCTGCCTGTAGGCGCAGGAGGTTGATCCGGACTCTGAGGAGGCGAGCGTGGCAGAGACGTACAAGTTGCGTGCACAGGACGAGTGGAACGACGACCACCGCCGCGGCGAAGGAAACAGATACAACATGGGCTGATGGGTCTCACGCCGCACCACATCACAGCTTGTTTGTTTGTTTGTTTGTTTGTGTGTGTGTGTGTTGTGTGTATGTGTTTGAGTGAGTGGTTTGGTATGGTTGCGTGTGCGTATGTGTGTGTGCGTATGTGTGCGTATGTGTGCGCGCGTGATTGACTTTCCATCTGTACATCTGTGATGATGACATGACGTGTGTGGGCGCTTGCTTGCTCGCACGTGAGTTTGGTGTGTGTATTCGCCCTTGCCCATATCCTCGACCCTCTGTTGTCTGTAAGTTTGCAACATGATCCCCCACTGTGTAATGGAGAGATTGAAACCAGGAACGTTGCTCGCTTACTCGCGAAAAATGCACACACACACATACGCGCGGCAGAGAAGCACCTGCTTCAAGCACCCAACACACCCAACACACACACACACACACACATCCACACACCCACACACACACACGCATCCTCACACACGCACACCCCCCCACACACACACACACACCAGCCACTGCTTTTCCTCATGCACTTGCCCGCGACGTGCCTTCCTCCTGCTCTCCCCGCTGCTCATCACCATCGCCATTTTCATCATCATCATCGTCTTCGTCTTCGTCGTTGTCACCGTCCTGTGTTGCCGGTGCTGGCAGCGGTGAGTTGCCCGCGTGGCGACAGCGCGCCTCGTACTTGTGGTGGTAGAGGTTGCTCAGCCACTGCTTGATGATCTCGTGCTTCTTCTCCTGGCGAAGAATCTCGCTCACAATCTGATCAGCCTGAGGTGTGTGTGCGCGTGTGCGTGTGTGTGCGTGTGTGTGTGCGTGCGTGTATGTGAGTATGCGTGCGCGCGTGTGCGTGTGTTTAGAGTGGGAAAGTCTTCCATTGAGCACATTCAAATAAAAGACACGTAGTTGCAGCAGCGCATGTCATGTAGACGTCACGACTTCAGGTAAAACAGCGCGAACATTGACACATTCCATCCCCGCATCCGCTGACCTTGAAAGCCTCAATCTCCTCGTCCCACTCCTCCCACGACAGCGGCTGTTGAAGACATCAGGGGGGCAGTATATCTTGGTCAGCACCATGAATGCAAACAGCTCTTAAAATGTGTGCATGTGGTGCTCTGTGTGTGTGTGTGCATGTGGTGCTCTGTGTGTGTGTGTGTGTGTGTGTGTGTGTGTGTGTGTGTGTGTGTGTGTGTGTGTGTGTGTGTGTGTGTGTGTGTGTGTGTGTGTGTGTGTGTGTGTGTGTGTGCCCTCACCGGGTGCGACTGCTGGAACTTCTTGTTGTAAAAGTCGAAGAACACCGAGTCGAGATAAAGACCAAGGCCAGGGATGCGAGGAACGTCAACCTGTGCACTCACAAACATTAAAGTAAAGCAGTGGTGAGAGTCAACGCAATGAGAAAAGTGGTTGCATAGCGAGATACAACACATGTGCAAACACACACACACACACACACACACACACACACACCCGAGCACAAGAGCGCATGTGAGCATCCACGAAGTCCCTTCCACGGTTCGCTGCTCACCGATTCGTGGTTGAAGGTGCTGTAGACATCCTCCATCACAGCAAAGCCGCGCGCAACAGCAACAGCCATCCCTGTCGTGGTGTGGGAAGAGTGAGGTCCATGCTGACCAACATAGTCAGCTGTAACGCACACCGACTTTCACGCACACACATACATACACACACACACACACAAAACACACAGACAACCACACATATGCACACACACACACACACAAACACCACCGCACAACATGCCACTCAGCCCATGCAGGGTGTGGACTGACCAATCATCTTCCTGATTTGGTGGAGCATGAAGCTCTGGCCCTTGACCTGAATGCGAATCCACTCCATCCCGTCTCGCTCAAACGGAGGCAGGTGCTGGACCGAGGTAGGAAGTCAATACATGTGTGTGTGTGTGTGTGTGTGTGTGTGTGTGTGTGTGTGTGTGTGTGTGTGTGTGTGTGTGTGTGTGTGTGAGAGTGAGTAAGTGTGAGTGCGCTCGCGCCAGGAACAGAGGTTTGCGTGAAAACCGCCACCCCCCCTCCGCCAAAAAGAGAGGGAAGGGCACGAGCGACGCGCCAACCAAACGTGTCCGCCCATACCCGGAGCCACAATGTATACATTAAAATAGAGGTGCGGCGCTTGACCGACAGGTCCCGTCATCTTCTTC